AAAAAAGGCATTGAATATGAAGAAGCAATTCATGGAGCAGGGGATTCAGATAAAGTTAATGTAACCCTCCACAAAACATTACGTATGAACAAACAGAGAGACACAGCTGCGAAGGCCACCAGAGTTGGAGGCAGGGTCTCAAGGAGGTGCGTACACACCCAGGCTCATAGCAGCTTTGTTTACAACGGAGTGAGTGCGTGTGTGCATGCATGCGTCTCTCTCTCTCTCTCTCTCTCTCTCTCTCTCTCTCTCTCTCTCTCTCTCTCTCTCTCTCTCTCTCTCTCCTCTCTGTGTGTGTGTATGTGTGTGTGTGTGTGTGTGTGTGTAGGCCAGGGTACATGCTCAACCGCTGTTCCTCTGGGGCCATCCACCTTGGTTTTGAGATGGGGTTTCTCTTGGCCTGGAGCTCCCCCAGGGGTCTGGGAGGGTGCTTAGTAAGCTCCCAGCCTCTATCTGTTTCTGTTTCCCTAAGACTTGTTTCTAGTTAGCTTTTACAACTTAAATTAACCCACTTCTATTGTCTACATGCTGCCACGTGGCTCGAGGCTTTTACCTCTCCTCCTGCATTTCCTGTTTCCTCTCCCTTTCCTCTGGCATCTCTCTCGCCTAAATTCATCTCCTCTCTCTTCTTTCTGCCCAGAAGTCCTGCCTAACCTCTCCTTGCCTAGCTATTGGCCATTCGGCTTTTTTATTAAACCAACCAGAAGGCACCTTGACAAAAACACATCTTCACAGTGTGCAAAAAAAAATCCCACAACATTTCCCCCCTTTTGTCTAAATAAAAAGGAAAGGTTTTAACTCTAACACAGTAAAACTAAGCAATAGGAACAACTATCGGGTAAGAATTACATTCACAATGTCCAGGCCATTTGTAACTGGCAAATTCAGAGAAAATACTCTATTAACTATCTTGTCTTGGTGAGTCCAAAGTCTTGTACCTAAATCACTTTCTATCTTAACTTGTATTACCAACCCAAAACTATCTTTTTAGACCTCAACACATTTCCTTAGATAAACAATTTAAGCTTTAATGTCTCTCAACTTTGTACACCTTACACCTCTTTTGTGAGTTTCTTTTCTGAATTTGGTAACAAAGGAAACTGTGACTGTAACTGTCTCACCAACTCCATCAGAGACCCAAGAAGGACATAGGCAGGAAGTGCCAAGCAAACGACTTCCAAAACTATAGAAACGACAGAGACATCTGGCTGCCTGGACAGTCACCCAAGGTTCCTCTGTATCGTTGGGGCATCATTTTCAGTCTTCAGGCCTAGAATGTCTGACAGACTTTTCTGTGAAGCAGGAATTTTGAAGAATTGTCCTAGCTTGTCTTGGCAAAGTTCCGCTTGTCCACTTTGGACTGCCCACTGTCAGCAGTGGAGGCCAGGGCAGTTTCTTGCCCAGTGACTAGCTTTCCCACATTGAAAGCCAACTCCGTATGGAGGTTCTTCAATGATCATCGTCTTCTCTGAAGTAGATTGGTGCTGTCAGGAGCAGACTATCACTCTCATGAAAAGTCTTATGTTATTAAAACATTTTAAATGCCATACTCTGTAGATCTCTGAAGTGTTTGAGGACCATCTATCTATTTAAAATACATCTCTGTTTGACTTTGAAAACATACCTAACATGACTAAAAGTTTTATTGTTATAGATGACTAACTATTAACCTGTATCCCTCTGTTATCCTAAATAGCTTTTAGGGACTAGAGCTTTACAACATATTTTTTTTAATGAGCTGCATAGGTACAATGCCTTAAACAAGAGTAGAAACATATATACGGTATAACAAAAATAAACTTATATTTGTATCACTATACAAAAATCCGTGGCGATGTAAAATACTTGAGACTAGCGGTTGTTTAAAAGTAGACTCAAAAATCCATCCTCTTAATCCCATCATTTCTACACTACATCCCCGTTTTCCCTTTAGAAAGAGATCCCTGAATCTAATCTCCTTTGTTTAGATCTCTCTCTGACCAAGACCAGGACCAATTTGTAACCAACCCCCCCTAAATGAAGACAAACCTCCACACCTCACTGAAAGACCAAAATTCACCTTCCCCACCTCTGGGAATGTGAGTGTTTTGTTCTCTAGACTGTTTCCTGTTGTCTGGTGGGGGGTGACAGCATCTTTAGTGACCCCTGAGGAAACTAAGATAATAGTCAAGTCCTGGGAAAACTCGCCATAGAATTTGTTGTCCAGTCTCTGTGCAATGGGAAAACTCAAGGCTTAGTCTGTGAGGCTGGGCCATCTCAGCCAGCAGCTTTGATGCTGTTTTGGATGCTGAACTCTGAGGACACTGCAACAGAGGCTCTCTGAGAGGCTGGATCACCTGGGTCACCCGTTTTCATTGGTGTCTGGTCCCCTTGCTCTAAACACACACACACTTTCAAAGGTAGCACACACATCTGCATTAACACAAGTATGGGCTGTTTGTCACACACAAGCCAGCCAAAGATGACATTCTTTTTTGTTTTATGTTTGAGCAGGTAAAATATGTGTCACCTGTCTCGTAGTTTTTCTAGGTTTGTTTCTTTATATCTGAGGTCAAGATTTCAGGTGGTCTCCCCACATCAAACCTGATCCTCTTGAACCTTGAATGAATCCACAGCCTTTCATTTCCTGTAGAAAGAAAAGCATAACCTTTTCCCCAGCGCAATACATTTTTTTGAATTTCATTTTGAAGTTCAGGCATTCCTAAGGTATCTAGGCTGGTTTAGTTTAGCAGTCCCTGTTACAACCCCATGTCTCTCAGCAGCTGTCATTCACACCTTACCAGTCAACACCAATCAGGATCCAAACTGTGTGTATTTCCCACACATGGTTTATCCCTTTTATATTATCTTGTTCCCTCTTTAAAGACTTTTTATTATTCATAAACTATTTCTCTATGACTGTCTATACCCATTTTCTTTTCTTTTTAAAGTCTACCCACAGTTTTTAAACACATTGTAATCTGTTTGGAGGTGTTTTTGTTTGTTGGTTGGTTTTTTTCTGTCTGGCTCTGTCGTTACTGAGCACCTGCAGAGTTCTCTGACCGTGTGAGACAAATCTTAAACTGCCGTGCCAGCCTCTGCGTGACTCAGCTTAGTGCATGGCGCTGGCAGCTGGCTCCATCCTGCAGGTGGCGGCTGGTAGTCAGCCTTCCTCCTGAGGTCCTGAGCATCAGTCAGAGGGTGAGCACTACCCAACACCGCTAAAGAACCTAGGAGGCTAACCGCGTTGTTGAGGTGGGTGTCTGTGCCATTTCTCAAGTCTAAGATGAGCTGGGGACAGTTCTGAGCATCCAAGTGCCTTGTTTGCAGGGTTTCCACGGCAGGCCCCGGGGAGGCCCTGCAGGGGACAGCAGCAGAGCCCTGTGTGGGGAAATGCTCCCTAGTTAGGATGTCCTGAGGAAGACCCTTCTGTCTTAGTGGAGCTCTGAAGGCCAGGTGTCCTGAGGTCTGGCAGTGGAAAACAGCTTGGTCTAAAAAATCTGGCCTTAAGCCAGGCGTTGGTGGTGCACGCCTTTAATCCCAGCACTCGGGAGGCAGAGGCAGATGGATCTCTGTGAGTTTGAGACCAGCCTGGTCTACAGAGTGAATTCTAGGACAGGCTCCAAAACAATACAGAGAAAACCTGACTCGAAAAAAAGAAAAAAGAAAAAAGAAAAAGAAAATCAGGCCTTGACTTGAGAGGTCTCCTTGTTGGCATCTCACCGAAGACCCCTGGGCGAGCTTTTCCGAAGGCGGGCCTCTCCAAGGGGACCTCAGCTTGGTCTGGCTGCCGCTGACCTACTCTGCACACAGCCATGCTTGTCCACTCAGGACATACTCCCTCAGCTTGTGGCCACACGTATCCTACCCAGAAGCCTCTGGACACTAAAACTAAGTTTCAGTGGGCACTGCCCCCCCCCCCGCCACCCGCCAGACCGCTGCCCGCTCTATGGCTAGCGGAGACAGCCCCAGCTCCCTTCAGCTTCTTGCCTGCTGCCCACCAGCACCCTGCATGCCTCTCATATGGGCCCTGGAAGAGTGGGCGGGATCTCCTAGCCGCTGGTTCCAGGCAGCTCTTGGCCCTGCTGGAAAAAGCCCAAGGCTTCCAGGTCGGGCTTCCCACACAGCAGACCTCTGGCCGATAGATAGCCAGTTCTTTCCAGAGGCTGGACTGTAGGGCCTGTCCATCACGCTAACCTCACCCTCAGGTCCTGCACCCAAAGACCCTCCATTCCCTTGGCCCCCTCTCCACAGCTGGTCACTTTGCTTTGTATTCATTCATTTGTGTGTTTGAGACAGACAGGATCTTGCTATGCCGCCCAGGCTGGCCTCAAAGGCGTTTCCCTACCTCAGCCTTCTGAGCAGCTGGGGGTGGGGTGGGGGGGGTCTAAGGGTGTGGAACGGCCAAGCCCAGTCAGTCCTCCCATTTCAGGGGACTTGGGAAACTGCAGAAGGGGAGCTGTTGGCGTGCCCTCCCGAGGGGCCCATCATGCTTCTGAGGCCAGAGGCCGCAGGACTGAGAGGAGCAGCTTGGGGTCCCGCCACAGGACTGGGACTCAGAGCATCTCCCAAGGACTCCATTCTCGGCCCTGCTGAGTGATGATGGCACAGGGCAGCCATCCCCGCCCTTTAGGAAGGAGGTAAAAATAGAAGAGTTGACTCCACAGACTCTCTTCTAGTCCTTCCTGCTGGCCAGGCCTCTCCAGGAAGTAAGAAGTCCAAGTATAGGGCTCACGCGCCCGCCCTGTTCTGACCTCAGGGACCAGGGAAGACGCCAGCTTGGTTATATACTGTCATGGGCTGTTCTGGGGGTGTCCGAAGCTTGGAGGAGGGACACAGCGGGCAGCTAAGTATGAAGAGAAAGCCCCTGGGCATTGAGAACTACTATGAAGTCAACACAGGCCCCCGGGGTAGAACCTTCCAGATTGACAAGAAGTTACAGCTTATCTAAAGGGACCAGGGCTTAAGAGTGCAGGCTGGAGGAGACTCACCCCTGAGGGGTGGACCCTGGGGACAGAGGATTGGTCAGGGACGCTCACGAATTTATTAGCCACCCAGAAGGACAGCAGCTGGTGTGTGATCGGCAGAAGACCCCAAGCTCACACCTTGTCACCCTGTTAGGTCCTACAAAGCCCCAGATATCAACGTTTGTTAACCCTCATCTTACAGGATCAGAGATGGGGAGGTAACTTTCCTGAGTCCGCACACCCTCCGGAAATAAACGGTTTCCAGGGCATGTCACCGCCTCCAGTCACATCTGGGTGCCGAAGCTAACCTGTGGCCAATCAACTCTCGGAGCTACTGCCAGCTCCCTTCTTCCGGTCCAGCGCACGCCACCAGCCACGTCTGCCATAGGCTGGGTTCCCTTGGGTTCTGGGGACAGCAGGGCTGCTGCTCTTCTCTGCTGGCTGGGATGCTGGTTGGCAGTGTAGCAGTCAGACTAATCGCTGGTCCTTATTCACAGTCACATCCTGCTGCCTGTGCAGCAGGGACTCAGTGATGGTTGTGTGGGTGTTGAGTGGCTTCAGGCACTGGGCTTCTCTGCATCTCCGTCCCTAGTTGTCCCGGATTTGGAGAGTGATCCTGTGAGACAAGAGGCCCTGGGCCCTCAGGTCAGCCTTAGCCTCCTGGCCCCAAGCACGGTGTCCAGAATTCTATCCACCGACTCCGGGGCTTATCCCCCCTGACTTCTGGAACCCCCGTCACAGTTTCTGGCACATTCCTGCCCCCTCCTGAAGTCCTTTGCTATTTATGGGTCCTCACCACACCCCCCTCAGCGGCTCCCCCCCCCCAATGCCCCAGGCTCTCCCATTCCCAGCTTCACTCTAACCTCAGATGACGTCCACAGCCAGGGATAACCAAGTGACTCAGGCAGTGCCGGTGGCGGTGACGATCCCACCGTCGTCCGCACTTTCCCTTACAAGGCCATGAGTGCCTCCTGCCCGCAGAGGGGACCTGCGGGACTCCAGGTCACACCCCACTTTCATCCGTCCATTTGCCCACTCTGTATCTAAAAAGCCTGTGGTGTGTGTGTGTGTGTGTGTGTGTGTGTGTGTGTGTGTGTGTGTGTTTGGTTGGTCAGAGAGGCTACAGTGGCAGAAGCTGAGAGGGTTAAGGGCCAGGTCGAAGGCCAGTATGGAGGCAGAAAAAAGGGGCCAGCAGAGGCAGGGAACCCTTGGGGGTCTGGGATGTCCTCTGCACGTGGCTGAAGGTGTTGGGAGCAGGTCAGGACGGGTAGGAAGCTAGCCACAGGGGTTGAGGGCTGACTAGGGCCCAGCGCAGGAACTGGGGCTCCGCCCTCCTGCAAGCCCTGATGGTCTCCCTCTTAGTGCTGTTGCTGCTGCTGCTGCTGCGTCCTGGCCAGTCACATGCAACCCTGATGAGGTTGCTGCTGGCCCGTCTACTTGGGCAGGCCATCTCCCTTTTCTAGAAGGAGGAGGGTGCCAAGCTCCACCCAGTGGGGTAATTACGCTGCTCTCCTGCCCACCTGCCTTGAGTAGCTGGCTGTAGTGGAGTCCGCAGGCAACCCGCCCACCACACCTACCCTGCCTGCCCCGCCGGCCTTGCCGCATTCCCTCCAGGGAGGAGCTGACCCCTGGCCGCCTGGTGCCGGTCTGCTGTGAGTCACAGGGCTGGCCTCGGGCAGAGAGGGGCTGGTCCAGGGGCTTGGCCTGGGACATCGTCGTCACAACCAGTGGACTTTGGGTTGATCCTGCCCCCTGGCTGTTTGCACATAAAATGTCCTGTGACTCGTTCACCCACACAAAGCTGGCGCTGGCGTCCGGTGTATTTCCTGCTGGCCTTTTTTTTTTTTTTTTTTTTTTTTTTTGCGGTGCACATCTGTGTGCACATTTTTAATGAGGCTGAGATGTAAACGCACCCAGTGATGATAGCCTTGGCAACATTTCCCCAGGACAGCTTTATTGAGGTAAGACAGAGAAGACCAAGAATTCTTCTCTAGAAAGAAAGAAAGAAAGAAAGAAAAAAAAGCCAATTGTTTTTTTTTTTTTAGTAGATTTTCAGTTGCACAGTAATCCAATTCCCCAGAACATTCTAATGGCTTCCCAAAGCAACCCTGTGCCTGTTAGCAGGCATTCCTGTTCCCCTGCTTCCCCAGGCCCTCGGGGCAAACCCCATCTACTTTCTGCCTCTGTGGATTTTCCTCAATGAGTGTTTCCCGTCACACAAAGGCCTTTGAGCCCCCATGTTAACTGGTGTTGCCGATCGGTGGCTAGGCAGTAGTTGGTTTTTTTTTTTTTTTTTTTTTTTTTTGGTTTTTACGAGACAGGGTTTCTCTGTATTGTTTTGGAGGCTGTCGGTCCAGCCCAGCCTCGAACTCACAGAGATCCGTCTGCCTCTGCCTCCCGAGTGCTGGGATTAAAGGCGTGTGCCACCACCACCCGGCTTAGGCAGTAGTTTAGGGTGGTATGTTTTCCCTGTTTTGGAGCCTTGATGGGCTCTGTGCCTAAATAGAGGAGGGGCTATAAAGGGTGGGCAAACACCCACCTGGCCTTGTGACAGTTTGTTTCGCCCCAGGAAGAGAGCTTGGGCATTTGTTCTTTCGGGACAGCAGGACCCTTTTTCCCCTTTACATTGCTCGCAGGGAATCCCCAGTGTGGGCAGCAGGCACTCAAGGGACACTGGATGGTAGCATACAGGTCAGAACTGTTTCCACACTGGCAGACTCAGCTGGGCCTGTGGCATGCCTGGGATTCCTCTTCCATGCCTCAGCAAATGCCACCAGGACACCCTTCCTTCCTGGTATGAGACTGCCATTCTGTCCCTGGATTTGACTTTGGTGTGGCCCAGAGGGTGATCATTTGCTTAGCATGCAGGAGGCCGTGGGTTTGACCCCAGCTCTGTAAAAAGAAGGGAGGGGTCCCAGGAAAACAAATGTCCCAGAACCCACAGGGGTCCCGTTGGCATCTGGGAGCAACTCTTCTCGGGGTCTCTGTTTCCCAGACTGCACACAGAGATTTGCATTTTATCTAAGTGGTTCTCAGCCACCTGGGAACCACTGAGTGACTCTACTGGCTTGCCCTCTGCCCAGCGTTTGAGAGCCAGGACCCCCGGCATCCAGGACATCTACACCAGGAACTCTCTGTGATTTCTTGGTGGGAGCCACCGGCTGGGGCTACTTGTCAGGATACGGTGGCAGATGGGAGGGGGGGCTCCCATAGTGGCCTCTGCCAGCCCCCCAGAGCAGCCCAGTAGAGAAGCAGGTGGGTGTCTGCACACAGCTCCCATGGAGCATTGCTCTCTTGTCCTGGCCACTCCTGGCTGTGTCACAAGAACCCACCATAGCCCAGCCTCACTGTCCCCGCCTGCCCTGTCCACAGCTGTCCATGCACAGTTGCAGGTGGGGAGTGAAACCACTAAGGCCCAGGTAGAGCAGGTCCAGCTATACCTAGCATCCTGTCCCAAGATCACTGCATCCAGCCCCCCACCCCCACCCCCACCCCCACCGACCCCTGTGCACACTCCTGTGGAGCTGCGCCCGGCCTTCCTCACACACTACCAGTGTCGCAGCCTCTCGGGAGGCTTGTGGGGCCGTGGCTTCCAGGCACCGTGCCCAGGGCAGGTCCTGCTCTCTGTTCCTCAGCCTCCTCTTTGCTGCTGCCCAGAGGAGAAGTCCCTTCTGGTCACCAGGGAGCTGAGTTACCGAGAGGAGAGAGAGAGAGAGAGAGAGAGAGAGAGAGAGAGAGAGAGAGAGAGAGAGAGAGAGAGAGAGAGAGAGAGAGAGAGAGAGAGAGACTGAATCTTAGTGGCCCGGGTTCCAGCCCAAGCTTGCAAGCTGCTGGCAGTAAAACCCATACAAAGCGATGGGTTCACCCTGCCTCTGCACCCCGGAAAGGTAGCACCTGCGTCCCTGTGAGGAGGCCTCACCCCACCTTCCTGGGATTCCTGGAGGCCAGAAGAGCCTGGGTGGGCTCAGGTTGAACGGGAACACACAGGCACCCACAGTTGCCTTCTCTCCCGAACCCACCTGTGCTCACCGCCGAGGCCTGGAGGAGCAGATGGGCTTTCAGCGGGTTTCCTATCCCAGTGGAGGGGGGTGGGGGCTCCCAAGGGGTGGGACTGAGGAGTGGAGTGCAGCTAGGAGTCTTCATTACCTGGCCAGGCCCACCTCCTCACGGCTTGCCCTCCCACAGCATGGGTCTCAGCTCCCCCGGGAAGGGGGGGCTTGTGCTCCAATGTCTCCTTGGCAACAGTAGTGTCTCCCAGCAACCTGCCACCCCCACGGCCTGCATTGCCCCTAGGAGAGAGAGGTCCCCCAGGAGTGTGTGTGTGTGTGTGTGTGTGGTGTGTGTGTAAGAGAGAGAGAGAGAGAGTTTCAGACGCTCCTGTGTCAGGCAATGGTAAGGAGGTGGTGTCAAGGCACAGATGGCAAAGGGAAAAGCCAGGGCTAGACCCAGAGCTGTCTGAGAGGCCCAATGCTGGAGTTTCTGGGTGGCCGCAGGCCAGCAGACACAGAGAGAGACGGATAGCCAAAGTCTGGCGGGACCTGTTCCTCCCAGACCCTGAGGCCGCCACCCATGGAGTCCAAGGCTGTTGCTGTCATTTATTTTGTTTGGGTCCCTCTTCCCTGTGGGAGCCTGCATTTTAGCAGGATATAAGCCAACCGGGACATAGACCCACTTAGCACCCATTCAAACATGGGATCAGCACCTCCAGACCTGTATGCAGTACCAAACCCAGGTGTGTGGCCCATGAGCTTGGAGAATTGTCCTCGTTTGAGTCAAGGAAGCAGGCAGGATTTGAGCAGCCTCGGGGCTGAGACCCAGCTTCCTCTGCGATGGGCCCGTGCTGGGTTCCAAGCCAGCAGCAAGCCTTCGCATGGTCCTTTCTCAAGGTCCCTGTGTGAGGATGGGGCAGATGTTCAGGGAGGGGCGTGAACCGGCTCAGACCGGCAGGATGCTGTCCCAGCCACACCACTCTGCACCTGTGCCCAGGTATCTGAAAACTGAAGAACACCCCCATCCCTACTGCCGCAGCTCTCAAGGCCCCTAGAGAGCTGGAGAAGGCGCCCTCCTGACTTCGGAGAGGCTCCACGCGGGCTTGAGTGGCTTTTCAACCTCCTTGGACCTCATTCCTTGCTCTGTGAAATGGGAACAACGTAAAGCTTCCTGGGCACTGCCCAGGCGAGTCAGCTGCTGTTTCTCTGACTCTCCTCGGTCCTGCTATTCACCACTGGGTCTCTGTTGCCTCTTCCAACCCCTCCCGGCTTCCTCCCTTGACCCAGGTTCTTCTCTCTCGGTCGGCCACTTCCTGTGTCTCATTTCATCCCTGCTGCTCTCTATCAGTTTCCCTTCTCCACCGCAAAACAAGCAAATGCCGCAGAGGCCCCGCCTTGCCAACCTTCCCTCCAGTGCCCACTGCCCCTTCCTCGGGGTTGCCCTCGGGCGATCCCAGTCCGTGCGTGGGTGGGTGGGTGGATGAGGGGGGGCTCTGCTGACATCACAGGCGGGCGTTTATCTACGGCTCCTCACCTAACGCAAATTTCATCCTCGTCCTCTCTGAATCAATTTACTTTTATTGCCTCAGCTGCTCAAAAGCAATTTTTCAAGAGCAAAAAGGTCAGCACGTCCAACACTAATCAATTCTCAGAGAGCTCCTGCAGCCGCCCGGGGAACCAGGACCGGTAGGGCAGTCCTCGCCCTTCCCGACAGCCCCGCCCCCCACCAGCCCCCGCCCACCAGCCCCCCCATCACTTTTATTGCTTCATGATGCCTGTCATTAGCGGTGTGTTTGAGATGCCCCCACAGTGTTCTTACAACATAAAACCTGGGTGACTTGCGGAGGGGTGGGGATGGGGTGGGGGGTGGGGGGCTCGGAGCGTTTATAGCCACTAGCCGGCTCTGGACAGTAATAGCTGAGCTGATGGATCGCTGGGAAGGGGAGGCGGGACAGGAGGCATCCAGCCACTTGTTTAAAAGCTTGAGGATAGCCAAAGGACACACTGGAGGCTCCAGGCTCTCTGCCTGCCTACTCCAGGCACACAACCTTTCCCTCGGTGCCCTCCGACCCTGGACTGGATGGAATATCGTCCAGTTACTCCACCCTGGTCCCCACAACTGTGGGACGGAAAAGGTCATCCTAAGTACCTCGTCATCCGCTGCTAACCACGCTGCCAGGCTGTGGGCTCTTAGAAGTCACTCCATAGATGGGGAAACTGAGGCAGGAGGTACGGCTGGAAGCATACAGTTCAAATAGAGCCCAAATGTCTTCTCTCGGTTCTTTTCATGTCTTTAAAAAAAAAAACACCAGAGGAGGGGCTGGGAAACAGCTCTGTAGTGGAGCATTTGCCCTGTTTATACAAGACCCATTCCGTCCCCAGAACCACAAAATAAGAACAAGGGCAGCCGGGTGGTGGTGCCCGCCTTTAGTCCTGGCACTCCGGGGGCAGTGACAGGTGGATCTCTGAGTTTGAGGCCAACCTGGTCTACAGAGCAAGTTCCGGGATAGCCAGGGTTACAAAGAAAAGCCCCATCTCAGAAAAATAAAAACAAAACAACCAAGACATAAAGGGG